TTAATTCCCATCTGGCCGGTGTGGCTCAGTGGTTGAACATCGACCTATGAACCAGGAGGTCACGGTTCGATTCCCGGTCAGGGCACATGCCCGGGTTATGGGCTAGATCCCCAGTGTGGGGCATGCAGGAGGCAGCTGATCAATGATTCTCTCTCATCATTGATGTTTCTATCTCTCTCCTCCTCTCCCTTCCTCTCTGAAATCAATAAAAATATTTTTTTAAAAAATAAAAACCACTCGTTCTCCTGTGCAAGTCTCCTAAACTTCTTTCTCAGGATATGGCAAGAATTCTATTCCCATGAGCAACAGGTGAGGACGAGGCCCCCCCACTTCTACAGGTAACAGTGGGAGGCTGCAGAAATCATAGAAACTGACCTTGTCCAAAGCCAAAATAGAGAAGAGGGCTCCTACATAGTTAATATTTGTATTTTTTCCCCTCACAACAGCTCCAAGAATCTAACACTGTGTTCTAAAGGCCCAGCAGCCATTTCTTGGTTCATTGATTCTCCAGACCTGGGGGGTGGGGGCAGGAGAGAGGATGATAAAATTTGAAAATGTAACATGAAAAATAGAAAAGCACAAAAGGGAAAGGAGACAAGAGAACATTCTAAGGAAGGCTATTTTCTGTGTCAGCACTGCTAGTCTTTTTTTTTTTTAAATATATTTTTATTGATTTTTTACAGAGAGGAAGGGAGAGAGATAGAGAGCCAGAAACATCGATGAGAGAGAAACATCCGATCAGCCGCCTCCTGCACATCTCCCACTGGGGATGTGCCCGCAGCCCAGGTACATGCCCTTGACCGGAATCGAACCTGGGACCCTTCAGTCCGCAGGCCGACGCTCTATCCACTGAGCCAAACCGGTTTCGGCAGCACTGCTAGTCTTGCCATGAAGGGAGATGACACCTTAGTCCCTTGAGAAACATTAAGTAAAAGACTTGCCTGATGGTCTTTTATTGATGGTCCTATTAAATGCCCTAGGGGAGGTAGATGGAATCTGCTTGACGACCGTTAAAGAGAAAACCACAGGCCCCAAATGGAGTCACCTGGGCTAAAGCACCAAATGCAGATTTCATACCTGCCAGTTCAACCTCCTCCCAGAATGCAACGTCAGCCTGTCCCTCTGGAATTTTCTACTGGGTACCAATGAGGTCATCTGTCACCTGGGCCCATTCCATCCCCCAAAGGAAGGCCAGGTAATCTGCATGACAAAACCTCCTGCCCTCACCTAAGGAAAGGTAACCTGGCCTGGGCCAATCTTTCTTTTCTTTTGCTAAGAACTTTCTCGTGCTGCCCAGCTTCAGCTTGTGGAAGCCTTGCGTATTGCATGGAAAGCTTGCTAGCTGGGATGCTCCCTAAAGCCAATTCGATCTTCAGATTTAAACTTGATTGACTTTTTGTTCATTAACACTATTTTGTCCGCACCATGATTCTTCTCTGGGTTTTTACCTTGTAAATGCAGTCTAACACACACCCCGCCAGAGCTTCAAGCTCCTGAGCCTTGCTCTCCTAGGGTAAACACTCGACTTTCTTTTCTTCCCCTTCTTCAAGTCTCAGCACAAAACTTTCTCGGCCTAATTCATATCTTTCAGGTTTTCCTCATCTCTGAAATGGGAATAATAAAAATACGGTGGGAAAAAGTAGTAAAACCTATATATTACAGTTGCTGTGAGGGTAAGTATTATACATATACTTGAAAATTTGTTGGAAACTGTAAAGGACTATAAAATTAGATGTTTCTATTGTCTTTATTTCTAAAGTGGTTTTGATTGTTACAATTAGGGTGCTAGGGCATTGGCTGCTGTGTCTCAGGGAGGAGATTAAGATGCTACCAAGAAAAACCCACTCAACTTCAAGTGGAGGTGAGCTCACCCTGCACAAAGCACTTTGAAGTGAAGTATGGTAGCAATCATCTCAGGTAGAGACTATAGTTTAACTTTAACCCTGCTGTTTGGCTTCTGTACTTACTTGCTTTGTTTAACAATAGAAAAGTTATTTTGATTTTCTGAACTGTATAAATC